GATTAAAACACACATCCTAGTGTAAGCCATCAAAAGTAAAAAAAACCAAAAGGAAATCTGATTAGAATTAAGGATGGATATATCGTTATAATTTAATACAACTAAATTCAGTCTAGTTGCAGAGTGAAATACGAACAATACTCACCGCAACGAAATGTCAACATATGACAAGAGTTCTAAGAATATGATGTCATCAGAACCCTGATCTGCGGCAACATGTAGATAAGATCGTCCATCACTACCACGAAGATTACCAGCACTATGATGTATTAAATGATGTCTCAGAATATCAATATCATTATTCAATATGGCCTGGAACACCTCAGTTCTTTCAAATTCCATTGTTTATTGATCTGCTGTAAAGGAGGATGTTTAATTAGTTTGATTAATCCCTAACATGCCAGAATGAATTCCTAGTCAACTAGAATATTGGTTCCATTTCACTCAGTATTTACAAAGAAATAATGAATTGAAAATTATTCAACATTCGACATCAACTGCAGACGATATAAACAAACCAGCGCCACGTTTAAGTGTTGTTTTAAATCTTTTGATGGGCCTCTTTTTATTCTGATTGAATCCAAGTCCATATTTTATCAACGTTTGATATACTGTATATATATATATATACTTTTTAAAATTAAACGTTCAATAATCAGGGTATTTAGTGTGGATTGGCTGTTTGCAAAATCAGATATTGTTTGAAAGATTGAGATTACTATCAGCGAGTTTAATTAAGGAGTAATTGTATTTGATAATGATGAGACTATTAATGATGGTACCATTAAAGGTATTAATATTGATTATTGCTATGTTAGACCAGGTATAATGAAATAATATATACTTCTAAATGAACACAGATATCAATAAACAATGTGTTATATTTCAGATGTGTTAATGATCAGCCACATAGTCGCAAAATAATTTAATCAATGCAAGAAGCTAAATATCTGATGTCATACATATGTATGTTTTAAGAATGTCAAAGTAGTTGTGGTTTTTTAAGGCTTGAACGTCATCAAGCTACTGAAACTGTATCAAGGGGGATTTTTTTTATCGAACACATATCATCAGAAAATATCTTCCAATAATTTCCTTATATTATTTTATATCATTGACAAATGGCCAATTCACTGTGTAATTGTGTTGGCAACTTAGATTAGAAATCCTGAATATACTCTTCAAAAAAAGAAGGGGATATTCAGAAACAATACGAAACTTCGGAAATGCACTGCTGTTTTTATTAGAGGTAACCAGTGTATTTTATTTGGAATCAGACTACCAATTATTTGCTAATTATCGTTAAATATCTTCTAATTTTCTTTTCTTTTAAAAACTGTCCAACGGATCTTTCTGAAACTTATGGTACAGGAAGTTAAGTTCCCATACCACTTGTTAAATTTATTCCAACAATGATCTGTAAACCGGAAGTAGTCGAAAAAATATTCGATATTTTGAGAAAATATAGTAAAAAATCGCAATTTCTCAGCTGGGTGTCACTGAATCAAAACAACTAAAGTATCGTTTGGTAGCAAGTTGAATGGGCTATTGTATGACACACTTCCTGTCTGATTCCTGAAAGCCGGTTCAGTGCTGCTTGCAGGTCTAGTTATTATTATTATGAATGATATAACTTTCCTTGTTTACTAAATCCCTCATCTTGTCCTATTTAGGGTTGTATAAACATTACAGAGAGAAATGGAGCTTAACGTTGCATCGACACAAACCAGGTCATTTGAGAACTAACATACGATACAATTTTATTATCCTCCTGGGATAAACAAAAAAAGTAGTAAAGTAAAAAGTTTTCCACGTACCTGGTTTCTTGTATTCAATATTTCTACATCACCAATTACAACTATTGTGGAATGTTGACGGTTTATCACAAAAATTTACACTTTTACACAACCTCACCAACATATTAACTGTTATTTCTTTGTTACCACGGTAACACAATTTATATCGAGTAAAACAGAAGTTTAATGATAATCTACATGGATCAATGAAATTCCTCTACCTGAAGTACTATATTTATTTAGAAGCCTGCGGCCAACAGATATAATGAATTATTGAATTTTTGCGTAAAAATTGTCATTTAATTATTTTGTGTGATAAATGTGTGTGATGGTTACCATGGTAATTGATTAATGTTTCTTTTATAGAGTAATAATTTGTGTAAATAAAAATACAGAAATCATCATGGATATCATTTATAGTCACAGTCAAAGTCTGTTCAAAGTTACTGATAATCATTTGTAGGATTGAAGAATCCCCTGCTAACTAGGCTATTAAAGATGCATTATGTAATAGCTAAGACTGCTGTCTAGCTTCAAATTTTATAAAGATTATTATTTAGACATTTATTCATAGGACAATTAAACTCATAATCAACTCTCTAGACTATCGGATGGCTGAGATATTGAGTGGACTAAACAATATTTGCCATATCTTCGTTTGTAACAATGGTACTTGACAATCAAAACCATTTCTTGTCAAAACTTAAACATTCATAACTTCCCTCAGAATAAAGTAGTTTGGAAGTTTCAATATATTCTTTTATTCATTATCTATTTTGAAACTAGTATAGCAAAAACAGCCATCTTTTTTTTTTATCTAAATCTAACATAGTGCATCTTTAAGAGAGAAATGCGGTCAGCTGAACATTTTTTAACATTCAGCATCCTCTTCAGATTATATAAACAAGCAAGTAGGACGTTAAAACTCCATTTCATTTCCTATTTTTGATGGGCCTAATTTTAATCCGATTAAATTCAAGCTGGAAGAATATCCATCGTTGATATCTTGGTTTCTTTGCATAATTAAATGTTACAAAATCAGTTTGAGAAGTTTTTATCATAGAAAAATATAAATGATGCTCGGAGACAAAAATACAAATGATGCTCGGAGACAAAAATACAAATGATGCTCGGAGACAAAAATACAAATGATGCTCGGAGACTAAAATACAAATGATGCTCAGGGACAAAAATACAAATGATGCTTAGACAAAAATACAAATGATGCTCAGGGACAAAAATACAAATGATGCTTAGACAAAAATACAAATGATGCTCGGAGACAAAAATACAAATGATGCTCAGGGACAAAAATACAAATGATGCTCGGAGACAAAAATACTTTTTAATAATATTTGTAAAACAAGATTTATTTGTTTAACACATGTTGTTAAGACACGTGGGGACCCTGGTACACTGTAAATGTTTAGTGGAATGAGCAGAGTTGATTGAATTTGTTTCAAATAAACGAAGGAAGAGAATGTGTAATTAGAGATTAGAATGGTTATAAAAGCAACCAGAGAATTTTATACATTTTTGGTGTCGAAGTATGTAGTTGTTTTAAAAAGATGGGATCACGTGGCTAAGTGGGTAAGACGCTGGCTCGCTAGCCTGGAGGTCGGGTGTTTGATCCCTGCATTGGCCGAGAAAGTTCATCCAGATCTTCCGACGTGCTTTCCCATTGTCAGTGATGCAGGACGGAGGGCCTGACAAGGACAGCTGTCTAGTCGTTCGGATGGGACGAAAAACCGAGGCCCCGTGTACATATTGGCGTGCACGAAAAAGATCCCTTGTCAGTTGGAATTCGATATAAGAGTAGGCCGTAGCGCTGCTGCCCGGGCAAAATTTCCCTCGTAGCACACTATGGCGTATGCCCGTCTTCATTAGCCCAGTTTAGGAGTAGGACGTAAAACCCCATTTCATTTCATTTCTGTATTCTAACTTTCTAAGGGGTCCTGAAGGCTTGTGGACCCTGGTCCATATGTGCCATGGGTAATACGCCAATGGTTGTCATACATTACAGAAAAATCAGTACATCAAGTCAATTTCATTCAAGCACAGCGCCAAACACTTGCTAGAATTATCTAAATTAATTTGATTGGTGGGATCAAAGAACAAAATTAATTACTTGTATAATTATAATTATTAGAAGATTTAATTGTAATATTAGTTAGGTGTACAGTATTTATTCTCTTTTTGATAAAAGGGGAAATTAGGGAAACCAGTACAGGGTGGGGGGGGGATACTGCACTCTCAGTAATGATGGGCAGGGTACTGCACTATCAGTATGGCGGCGCACTCCTTAGGACAGGATACTGCACGATCTTTTCAGGGTGGGGGCGGGGGAAGGATACTGGACTCTTGACAAAAATCTCCCAGTTTTAAATCTTGATGTACAGCGTAGGTCGAAAATAATCTCAGGATTTTTCAAGCCCGGTTCACTCTTGTTAGGTGATGGGCCCGTGGGTTTGACAAACTTGATTCCCTCTTGTTAGGTGTTGTGCCCATGGGTTTGACAGACTTGATTCCCTCTTGTTAGTTGATGTTTCTGTGGGTTTGACAAACTTGATTCCCTCTTGTAGGTTGTTGTTTCCGTGGGTTTGACAAGCTGGATTCCATCTTGCTAGGTGTTGTGCCCATGGGTTTGACATACTTGATTCCCTCTTGTTAGGTGATGTATCTGTGGGTAGGACAAGCTGGATTCCCACTTGTTACATGCAGGTATTGTATCTGTGGGTAGGACAAGCTGGATTCCCTCTTGTTACATGTAGGTATTGTATCTGTGGGTAGGACAAGTTGGATTCCCTCTTGTTACATGTAGGTATTGAATCTGTGGGTAGGACCAGCTGGATTCCCTCTTGTTACATGTAGGTGTTGTATCTGTGGGTAGGACAAGCTGGATTCACTCTTGTTACATGTAGGTATTGTATCTGTGGGTAGGACAAGCAAGATTCCCTCTTGTTACATATAGGTATTGTATCTGTGGGTAGGACACGTAAGTGTAGGACCAAAAGAAAAAACAAACCAGGTAGGTACACTGTTGTGTGGGCAAACTTTGCTTTCCTAGCAGTGCACACCTTGATCATAAAGCTATATATTACCATATGTTAGTCTCAAAATGAATGAAGTATTTTGACGAGATGTTATGCGTTACATGTATTTCCATAGTTCCATAGTTTAATGATGTCATTACATGTTTTTCAGATCAGCCAGACTTTGGTGCATATCCAGAACCAACATTCTGTAACCCAATACCATGGCAACCAATAAAAATTCCAGCACCAAAATCTGCATCCAAGGCTAATGTTAATAAGAGTAAAGTGAAGAAACCCAAAGGGAAGTATGTGTGGAACCCTGAGAAATATTTTTAAAAGTAAACAAAACAAAATATCCAGCATATATATGAAGATTTCTTTTCTGCGTCGTGATATATAAATGTCATGCCATTTTGGGGGTAAAAACCTTTTTTGTTTGCAATTAAGATTAACTTTCCTACATGCTAGGATTTTGTATTGACTATATATGGTTGTTACGAATTGGAAAAGAACTCTGTATATATTTTCCGTCCATTTTAAATATATGTAGATAAATTTCTGACATTGTAGATATAATTTTAATAAATGTTTAAAGATTTTATATGTGTGAACTTTCTGTAGTGAAGAGTTCAAAGGATTTTAGACTATATCAATAAGATGGAAAGACAAATATTTTAGCTACCATTTATTATCTGGTTAGAAAAATGTTTTATTAGCCACATACCAAGTTAGGATCATCTTGCTGTGGTTGTTTCATCACCCATAAATGTTAATACCTATATTTGCCATCCCAGAACAATGAATTGCTGAAAAACTGCCCTTCTCAACAAAGCCGACTTCCATTTTAAGATTTTTTTTTTTTTTTTTAAATTCCTATAATTATTGTTAGGTTATTCTTTAAGATGCATTATGTAAGATTTAGATAAATGAAAGACGATAATGAAAAATGAATATATTGAAATTTTCAGTTAATTTATTTATTTTTGGCGAAGTTATGACTGTTTTAAGATGTAGAATAGATTGTTTATTATCATAGCAACGGTACTGGACAATTTAAATCTTGCAGGCTTTCTAATCCATTTAATTCCCAGCCATCCAATACTCTAGAGAGTTGATTAAAGGCTTGTCATGTGAATAAATATCTAAATAATAGTTTATATAACATTTCAAGCCAATATAAACACCGACAATAGGCAGATTTAGCTTTTACATAATGCATCTTTAAGGAAAATGCTAATTTGGATCCTGTGAAGATTAATCACAGATTCCTTGCTCTTACTTCCTGTTTTATGAACGATTTTATTGATATAGAGAAGTGTCTCATCAATGGTCATTTGTTTTGTAATAATTCAAATATACTGGTCATCTAATGTTAACTGTGAAACATTCCAACGTATATAGTATTCATCTACTGTCCACAGAAAAAAATGTTAACCATTTCAAAAACGGATTTTGTGGACATTGTCATATTTTAATGTTTTAAGATAGATATCAAAAATTGTACATAATTTTCTCGTAATTTATTTTTGTTATATATACATGTAGTGTAATAGTCTTGATCATTCCAGCCTCTATTGTCTGCTTTAACTGTAATCAATGTGAGTCTGGATAAAATAGCATCCATTGTGTTTAACTGGTTCTCTGGCTGTTCCTGTCTACAGTTCACACAATGACTTATTTCAGACAACCAGTTTATAATTGTGCATACTTCCAAAAAAAGGTGAAGGCCATTATTCCTCTCAACCAATCGTAAGACCTGAGACCATACAGATTATCCACACTATTTTGTCCAGACCAAAATTTGTCTAGTGAAAGTAGCAACATGTTAAGCCTGGGCGATCAAGACTATATCAGTGTTTTTAGATACCAAGAGTCATGTTCCTTCAAAATCAAATACTTAAAACTGTGGTTTTCAAAATGATAAATCATACTAAGTTCATCACAGATGCTTTTTAGACCAGAAATTTTGTTAATAATAATCTTTTAGCTGGTGTGTTTGAAACATCTGACAATGTTTGTAAAGGTCTGTCTGTTAACCAAATAGGTCTTTTCCTTTTTTCCAAGCTAAACAGAGGGTTGTGGTGTAAAGAACGGGACAGTGGTCATCACTTGTCTTAATTAGGTCACATTTACATTTGTCAGTCCATACACCATAATATTATGAATTGACAGGATTGCAATTGAAATGTGATGTGAGCCGAATCGTGACACAATCAAAAGTTTTATTCAGCTATGGTGATTTATCAACCTAATATATTCTGTTGGCACATGTCTTGTCACCAGTAATTCTTGTGTTCAATTGATTTAAATTTTTTTGAAGATTGAGAGATTTCAATTCCTTTGATCAAGTATCCTCTACAAGTTTCCATCTTGAAATAAGCACATGAATCCCTACAAGACTTGCATGACTATTTATTCATCAAAACCTTGAACAACTACAAATTAGATTGGTTTTATGTTATAATTAACTCTTTGATTCTTTCATCTTGTTTGTGATAAGATTTCTTGCGTGAATTTTTATTTTTAGGCACAGCTAATTTAAATGTGCTATAAGGTCCTCATGATCAATCAAATATTATTTATTTGTTGTTACTTTTATTTGAGAAAATATTTACATTATTTTTCAGTTCAACAAAAATTTCATTTCAAGTTTCAGATCTGTAGATTAATTAAATCATATTTATATTATTATAATAAAAAAATGAAATTTAAAAAAGCTTTCTTTATCAATTTTGAAGCTATGGGGTAAAATCCACAGAATTATAATAAAAATTATTATTATAATAAAAAAATGAAATTTAAAAAAGCTTTCTTTATCAATTTTGAAGCTATGGGGTAAAATCCACAGAAAAGTGAACATTTAATCATCCATAAATACTACACTGAAAGATGGTTACGAATGTCGACAATAACATCCGAGCACATGGCCTACTCTGAGATATTATTAATGTAATTATAATCTGCAAGTTTCATTGAAATCGGTTGATAATTGTGGTTTGTAGCCGTGCCACATGAAATGTGTGGTAACCTGATATCTCCGAAACCGCTAACCGCCTACTCTGAGATATAATTAATGTTATTATATTCTGTATGTTTCATAGATATAAGTTCATAATTGTGGTCTGTTGCCGTGCCACATGAAATGTGTGGTAACCTGATATCTCGGAAACCGCTAACCAGAAGTGGTCGAAATTTTGCCTACTCTGAGATATCATTAATGTAATTATAATCTGCAAGTTTCATTGAAATCGGTTGGTAATTGCGGTCTGTAGTCGTGACACATGAAATGTGTGGTAACCTGATATCTACGAAACTGTTAACCGGAAATGGTCGAAATTTTGGCTACTATGGGATATTATTAATGTTATCATATTCTGTAAGTTTCGTGGATATCGGTTCGTAATTGCGGTCTGTAGCCGTGCCACATGAAATGTGTGGTATCCATAGAGGTGTGTTGGTGACCCCCATATCTCGAAAACCGCCAACCGGAAGTGGCCGAAAGTTTGGCTACTCAGACTCAGAGATGTTATGAATGTTATCATAATCTGTAAGTTTCATTAAAATCGGGTAACAATTGCGGTCTGTAGTCGTAAGGCTATTTTGAAATTCTTGCTTACCATATGTGGCAAATAACCACAGCTGTAATAGTTGATAGTAGAGAATTGCAAGTGCGATGGCTATTTATAGTATTATCATACTGCGTACTAAGCGTGAGAGATCACTTCGAGAAAAGCCACTTAAGCATGTACATTCGCCGTGTCGAGACCAACTTTCTGTACGGGAAATTTTGGGTGCACGGGTATCATGGCATGTACGTCTCCGTGTCACGTGATGCAGTTGATAAAGCGTGAACTGAATAGGTTCCTCGTTGGTTGTGTCGAAGATCTATAGCAAAAATGGCAGTTGAAACAGTTTTAAGTCTTGACAACCCAGTGTTTACATCATTCCTGTTTTATTCAACATTAGTGATACTAAAGATGATGTCTATGAGTCTTTATACCGCATTCCACAGACTGACTAAAAAGGTACGTAATTCACAGCGTCCCATATCTTCATTCTTCACCTATCTACACCATACATCAGTATCACACTGTATACAGTTCATTGACGGGCTTAAACAAGCTAAGTCTCTAACTCAATATTATCCAAAATCTTCAACATTGAAAACACGATTTATTTGTCAAATTAAATCAACATTCATGTTGTGATCTTACCAGAAAAAGATGGGCTTTTGATATCCAATATTTAAGACAAAATAAACATTTTACCATTGGTACACGAATCGTGTACCATAATGCGCTTCAGCCCCATATGTATCAAGAGACTCGAGGGACGAGGCTAGACACATTGCGCCAAATAAAACAGCGTATGTAGACTGGAATAACCAGATGCTAGAAATTTACACTCGCTTGAGACTGCTGGCTTATTTCGCCAAACATAACTGATTTGAAGTTGGAGTATAAACGGAAACCATTGAATGTAAATCAGTTTATATACATTCATATTACAGTATTATATGCGTTGCGACCCACTTTTGTCAATTTATAGGTCCCAAATGTTAGCGATTTAGCTCCTTTAAAGGACAATATTGGTGCCAGTCATTATCACATATGTGATAGAACTGGTTAAACACGTTCCAAATATTATTTTATCACAGAGATCATTGCTACGATTGATGAGTGGGCCTAATCATTGTCTCAACAATCGGAAGTGACGAACGCAAAAGGAAAACATGAGTTATCCCTCTATATAACTGACTAAAGTGACGAGTGATAAGATATACATGGGCGAATTTCTGCTCACTAATAATTCCTTAGAAGACCAAAAGTTGTTATATGAGACTGTAAGAGTCGGATCGAAACTTCGTGGATTATGATCCCTGATTGTACAAAAAATCACGTTTTTAGCTTGTGGACACTCTGATTTTGATGAAGCTTGAAATTCATGTTTATAACCTAAAGATCTTGATTCCTTTCGATATTCGCGCATATCGGATCGTAACTTCCTGAATTATGGCCCTTGATTGTATGAAAAATCGCGTTTTGGGCTTGTGGTCCCTCTAGAGGTCACAATTGAACAGTAAAACATTTCTCTGTGGGGAGAACAACAGATTAGTTTATAGAATTGTTTCGCTCGGTAATAAACGGTCTATTCAATACAACTACCATACTGACATACAAATAGCATTTGTGTAAATAGCATTTGTGTGAGTGTAACTGACAATGGTCAGCATTTACTATTGACAGTCATATGCTTCCATACATTTCATGTCCGTGAGCTGTGTCAAAGCGGCCAAACTAATATTTACTGCGGATCAGTTTAGGGCCATGGACGTCTGTGTGTCACGTGATGCAGATGATAAAGCGTGAATAGACAATAGTTGCATCGAAAGTTGTGTCGAAGATCTATAGCAAAAATGGCAGTTGAAACAGTTTTAAGTCTTGACAACCCAGTGTTTACATCATTCCTGTTTTATTCAACATTAGTGATACTAAAGATGATGTCTATGAGTCTTTTTACCGTATTCCACAGAATGACTAAAAACGTACGTAATTCACGGCGTCCCATATCTTCACCTATACACCATACATCACACTGTATTGACCGGTTCAACCGGAGGGAGGACAATGTATTGACCAGTGACCGGCAAAGGCAGGACAGTGAAAGACTGAATGAAAATTAAAACCGAGAGTAATTAACATTGGGTTATGGTGGGCGATTCCCACCCGACCCCAAATTAGGCTAGGGTTACTTTTGTTTTGCGTAGATACAATTTTTTTTCTCGGGGATGGGGGTCATCTTCTATTCTGGAAATGGGGGCTGATTTTTACATGTTGTAACATGTAAAATTATTCTAGAGAAAAATGATTTATGAGCAGCAAGTTTAAAGATTATGGAAGCCTATTGCGGCCATGTTAATGGTGTTGCAATCTCAACCTATTGTCAGTTCAATTACGTTACCAATGCCTCGTTCTCTACTTATCTGAACCCCGTACATCTTCCAGTCTTGTCAGGGGACATCGTAGTCGATCTTTAGCAGGCGCGGATTTAAGCAGGTGGGGGGGGGGGGCGATAGCCCCCTTATGAGACCAAGTAAGCACCCCTCCTAAGGTTCACAAAATAATAGCAAAATCAATAACAATCATAATGACATGAACTTTATGTCAACTTGAAGTTGCTGGATTGGCTTCTGATACTTGAGCTTTTGAGAGAGTGTGTCTATTCTTCCCGTTCAATCAAATCTGTCCCAAGTACAGCAGCATGACAGACCTTCGTTTCATCTGGGGTCTTCCCTAAAACTTTGGACAGTGATTTAAGGTATTAAAAACGGTGGAAGTATTGTTCGTCTCCAAACAGTATTTTTTTACATTGTATTGGTTTTGATAGCCTCGTTTTTCTGCAATATTCTGCTATGCACTGGTTAACTGGGCATAATAAAATTGTGAATCATGACGTAACGTTATGTAAACATAGTTGGTCCAATTTGGAGTTCTGTAATGATATTATTACGCAGTTAGCTATTGGTTGTTAATCGGACTATTGACCAGTCATAATTTGGAACAGATTTTTGCTTCTTTTGCAGTGTTAAGTGGGATTAGGTATAATCACACGAAACACTGCGAGGAATATGAAATTCCGTGGTACCCCCATTCCCATGATGCCCTAAGCACGTGCTTATTTTTATAGGTGTACGGGCTCGATGAATTTTAAGGGGGGGGGGGCAGAACGGGTTACAGACGACGTATAGGACCCCCCCCCCCCTTTCCACCTCGAAAAAAGAAGAAAGTTTGACGGTCGCAAACGCGTTTTCCTGGCGCGAGTCGTGATAGTGGCAACCTAGCGTTAAGACGGATGTATTGACATCTATTTCTGTATAACTATTGTAACACCTCACTGGTTTGCACGAATAGTATGAATAGTCAGACCTTTTATGCTCCTTAACGCCGCCACATGTGTAAAATAAAATAGATATTTGAGTAACGTCCTTGTTGAATAAGTTATGCCAATAATAATATATAATATAAAGAAGACGGTGTGTGAAATTGTATACGTATGTATAAATTCATTATTATACATTTAATTTATGACGTGACAATTAAATTTTTTAATAACCAGAAGCCTTTTATGAAGCCTCTTACCAAGATAAATCTAGAATTATCAGAAAATTTATACATAAAATGGTCCCGTGATGCATAAGCGGACGAGCTCGATGAACGTTTGAAAATTTAACTGCCGCAAACGCGTTTTCCTGCTATTCAAGCCTGTGAATACAGCATCTTCAATATGGTCCAATATTGCCTACCTTAGGTGACTTAACCGAATCCCAAACAACCAATCAATCGTCTCGGGAGTATGGGGGACTCGCGCTCCCCGAGAAAATGCGTTTTCTGCTATTCTAGGCCGTGAATTAAGAAACTTCAAAATTTCCAATCGGCTTGCAACCGAAATCCCACTCTAAGCCGACCCGAATTCCAACCATCCAATCAGACTGTTGCAGCTGCATTCACAAATAATAATCGATGCCCGGAAAATGTCGCACAAAGTAGAGTGGCTCCAGACAAAATGCTTTAATCCATAGTAAATTCCGTACAACTTCGTGGTATTCAATTAAAAGAAAAGTAAAATTAGTGTTTTATTAGATTTCGGGCACTTTATTATGCCAACTAGATGAATTCAGTACAACTTCGTGGTATTCAATTAAAAGAAAAGTAAAATAAGTGTTTTATTAGATTTCGGGCACTTTATTTTGCCAACTACAGATGTAGATGAAATAATATTTTTTGTTTTCACGTTATCCGTCTGCCCCCACCCGCCCCGACTCGTACGCCTATGATTATTTTGCTTAATGGTTCCGGGGAGATCAGAGATTTGGGGGTGGGGGGGGGGGGGCGGGCGATGTCCGTGGACACACTAGGCGAATTTCGAAACCGATTGATTCAGTAGAGTTTGGCTAGTGTGTCCACAGCTTTATGCAGTGTGCTTAAGGGTAAATCTTGCCCCGACAGAGGCGCTACGGTGTACTCTTTATTTCGAATTCCACCTGCCAAGGTTTCTTTTACCTCCGAACGACTTGAAAATTGTTCCTGATCAGCCCCTTCCCCCACCCCAGTGATATAGTGATACCACTCCGGAAAATCCCGAGGAACTTTCTCGGCCATTACCGGGATTAAACCGGACCCTTCAGCTAGATTACTGACCCAACGCCTTACTCCCGAAATGGAATGAACTAGAGTCCCAATAAAAATGGCTATTGATGTACTAGTCAACACAAGGGCCTTCAATAGAGAATTTTTTTTATTTCAGGTATTTGCGAATGAAGAAGATTGTCGGTCTGCCGCTAAACCGGGTAAAAAACTTCAACCCGTGCTCAATCATGCAGATGTGGAAAGAGTGAGACGGTAAGTTAATTATTATGATTCCACGCATGCGCTTTTCATTATATACATGCCCTGTAAAACGTGTATTGAAATACAAAGTTCAAGCCATAAGTACATGTATATTCTCTGTAATATACTGGTGTTTGTCTTCTCTCGAAAACTTACCCAACTTCTCGCACACTGATCAGCAGTGAATATTCTCTAGGCCGCTACAATTCGTTATTCTCTGTGAAACAGATACTGATTGAACTTCTCGGTCTAGATTTTACACCGTCTAAATGGCCACGTGCATAGACAAACGCCTGTTACAACGCGAGTGTGACACCTTTGGATCCCGCCAGCAGTTCAGGGAATTGGGCAGGTGGGGTGGGGTGGTAAGCTTCATAACACATGTTGGCATGCACGTTAAAAAAAAAACCATGACAGTTGGAATTCGAAATAAGAATCCGGGCAAAATCCGTCCCCCCCCCCTTCCCCAGCACATAGTAAAGTAATATGAATGTCGTATTTGTATTTTCAGTTATCATGATTTAGAAAATGAAATAAGAGCCGTAGTGCGGCAGTTCTAGCAAAATAACTCTCATAGCACACTGTTTGACGTATGTCCGTCATCATTATCCCGGTTGGTGCAGAAAAGTAGGACGTTAAACCCCATTCTATATCCATGCTCAAGTAAATTAATATAAATGACCTATTTGTATTTTCAGATGCCACTTGAATGATTTAGAGAATATCACTGCCTTTGTTTTGATTGGTTTGTTGTACACTTTAACTGGACCAGATGTACAGATGGCCTTACTACATTTTAGAATATTTGCCGGTTGTAGAATCGCCCATACCTTCTTCTATCTCTTCGCCATACCCCAGCCAACACGCGCTTTGGCCTTTATGGGCGGTTTTATAGTCACCATTTCCATGGCTGTGAATATTTTCAAAGTAGCCACATTTTAAATAGGTGTCTACAAGACACAATTATATGGAATAAACATTCTTCAGGAGTGTTTCGACGAGGGTTCTCCCATTCTGGCGACGTTTGGAGAAGGGTTCGCTCAAGCTTGATAAAACCCAATCTGATTAAAATACAGATCTATATTTCGTTTCGTTTTTTTTTTATACTTTCTATGACCTACACTACCAAGTGTAGTAAAGACAAGTTAATTTTGAACTATAAAAACGAAACGAAATAGGATCTGTGTTTTAACCAGATTGTCTAAAACCGAGAGAAACCTCGTGGGAACGTCACCAGAAATAAACTGGTATTCCATGTAATTGTGGCATGTGTTGATTCTAAGGCCAACTCAATTGTCAAGGTCGCTGAGATGTGATTTTTAGTGAGATTGTAGGTTAGGGTTGGGGTAAGCATTAAGGCTAGGCTTAGGATTAGGATTAGCGGTAGTCCTGTTTACATCTCGTGACCTTTGGCCAAACTTGAAGTTGGCCTTATCAAATAGAGGTAACCTTAATTGACAAGTCTTCATTCAATGGAATAAGTCGGTCTTAGCTAAAATTCCCGTTTAATTTATCTTTATATTAGGAATACGTCATTATATCCAATAAATACTGCCTCAGATATAGCTATTAATAAACCTTTTAAAAAATCGTTAAAGGCTCAATACCACTCTTGTTGTAACTGAATAATATGTCCCAATCTTTATTCTGGTAAACAAATTGTACAATTTTACAATATTTTACAATAAAAAAATTGGAACAATTAAACTTAATGATTTGAAAAGCCTAACGTAAACCTTTTCAGATGTGACTTGGATTTAAAAATATTTTCGAACCCTCTGGACAAGTAAAATAGGATTTAATGGATAATTTACACAACAGGTAGGACACTAACACATCTAATACTTAGAATAAGGCTATTATTTATTTACTGGAGCTGTCAAGCCAGCAAGAGTGTTATTGTCCCTTTAAGTAACAGTTATTTTGTATGTTTTATTTTTTGTATTAAAAAAACTACAGAAAGAATAAAAATAGGCTATTAATAAACCTTAAAAAAATCGTTATGTAACAGTTATTTTGTATCTTTTATATTTTTGTATTAAAAAAAACTACAGAAAGAATAAAAATGGTTTTTTTTATTGTACACGAACGCGTTGAACCAAATGTATAAACCTAAGCATTCTATATGGGGTGCCGTGGTGGCTCACTGTGTAGGTTTCTGGATCACTAACCGGTTTCCCCTTGTCAGTGGTTGAGGACGGAGGGCCTGGCAAGAACAGCGTCTAGTCATTCGGATGGTACGATAAACCGAGGTTCCGTGTACACAAAGGCGTACACCAAAAGCACCCTGAAAATCGATGACCCAAATGGCCACATTTGAAAATTTGTTGCGTTCATATGACAAAGAGTTAGGGTGACCTTTATCCGGGTTCTCCGTTTTCCTCCCACGAATTATTGAAATAGAATTTTACCATATTGTGTTAATCCCGAAAAGAGCAAGGTTGTTTTCAGTGAACGTTAAAGGAGCTAAATCGCTAATATTTGGCACCTAGAAATTGACACAAATGGGTCGCAACGCATATAATAAAGTAATGTGAATGTATATAAACTGATTTTACATTCAATCGTTTCTGTTTTTACTGTAATTTCTAATCAGTTATGTTCAGTGAAATACGCGAAGAGGTGCAAACTGAATGGTAGTCTTTGACGTCTGATTATTCTAGTCTACTCCGGTAGTTTTCCCTTGTGGGATATGTTTAATCTCGTTCATCCAGTCAATTCATTACCAATGGAAATGAAATGAAATGGGGTTTAACTTCCTACTGTTCTGCTCCTAACCTGGGCTAATAATGAAGACGGACATACGCCATACAGTGTGCTATGAGGGAAATTTTGCCCGGGCAGCGGCACTACGGCCTACTCTTATATCGAATTCCAACTGCCAAGGGATCTTTTACGTGCACGCCAATGTGTACACGAGACCTCGGTTTTTTGTCCCATCCGAACGACTAGATAGCTGTCCTTGTCAAGCCCTCCATCCTACATCACTGACAAGGGGAAACCACGCCGGAAAATCTGAATGAACTTTCTCGGTCAATGCAGGGTTCGAACACCCGACCTCCACATTACAAATGGTGCTGGAAAGAATTTTTACACGCGATTAGTTTGCCAAGTTTAAACTTTCAATTGTGTCTTAAATATTGGATACCAGAACCCCATTAAACCCAATGTTGATTTAAATTGTCCAATATGTCTTGGATGATACTGAGTTAAAGACTTGGTTGCCATTACAATAAGGAAGTGTTAATTTAACACTGTGTATTATTTAAGTGTAAAGAGTATTTGTTATCGGTATAATAGTATAATGGTAGAGCCAGGCTGTGGTATATTTCACGAGTTAAATCAAAGCCTTATCTATGCAAGCTCAGATTAATTACAATTAATAGATATACGGGTACTTTATTACATGACCTTCAGGCTGTATTACTAAAATCGCAATATGGTCCTCAAAAAGTCATGTTCACCCCGGTTAGACCGGTACGTACTGTAGCATAGTTCGGGCGTGGTCTTCCTAACCCGTTACCTCCAATGGTTTGCAACCTTGGGTCAGTTTTAATCAATAGGGGAGGGGTTCACTAGTCCGCGGGTGAATTAGTCCGTGGGTTCACTAGTCCGCGGGTGCACAAGTCCGTGGGTTCACTAGTCTGCGGGTGCACTAGTCCGCCGCTATAAAAAATACTATAAATATGGGTATACCCCCCCCCCCCCTCCCCCCAAGAAAACCAGCAGGTATGGTGGCTGATTGGTATCATGTCGTGATGTCGTTGTTCCGCCCTTCATAAGGCGACACTCGACATCACGATATTTTAACCCGACGCCACGACATTAAAAAAGCAGTGTCTAGTTGTGTAGATGGGACAAAACACAAGCCCCTGTGTACACATTGGCGTGCACATAAAAGAACCCTTCACAGTTGGAATTCGATGGAGAAATGCCACTGTCCCTAGAAAATTTCCTTCATAGCACCCAGCATAGCGTATGTCTATCTTCAACAGTCCGATTGTCGCAGAAAAGTGGGAAAATTAGATGAAGTGAAATGGGGTTTAACGTCCTACTGTTCTACTCCGAGTGGGCTAATGAAGACGGACATACGCCATACAGTGTACCATAAGGGAAACTTTGCCCAGATAGCGGCGCTACTGGCCTACTCTTATATTGAATTCAACCAATTCGTGGGAAAATGGTTACATACCAGTGTCAATGTGGGGTGTGTTACGTACATATCATTGTCAGGGTAGGTGCATTACATTGCATTGCCGGGGTTGGTGTATTGCATGTCATTTCATTGTCCGTGTGGGTGTGTTACATTTCATTGTTAGTGTGGGTGCGTTAGTATTATTGTCAGAGTTCGTTACGGGTGTGCATTTACATGTGATCACCAATCGTAAATATGTCAATAATAGATATCGACAGACAAGTGATCCCGCGGACTAGAGATCATTCCCTGGGTGAATAAGGGGTTAGGCATTTTACACAAACCCCATAGTTTAGGGTTTATGGAACCCGACGAGAGATATTGTCCGACAAAACCGAGCACCCAGTTCCACCATCAAAATCTTTTCAGATTAATTTAACAATTAATACAGGCGTTTTTGTCGCATCTTAATTAGACACATGTGTTTGTTTTGAAAAGTCATTTGAACGTATACAATTTTTGCTAATTTCCTGAACTAACTATAGCGTTTACCACCCACTGGACACAAACTAGGTTATTTCGGGACTAACATATAATTCAATTTTATTTTAGTAATGGGTTTTCAGCAGTGGGAGGATCTGGAGAAAACCCACAAGATTGGATTAGTACAAACTGGAAATCGAATCTACGCCACTTGACTCGATGGCAGCGCACGTATTAGACCATTAGAACCCTCCTCTCATTAACATTATCAGGGACGTGTATTCAACTGGGGATTGTTACGATAATAAACAAAGTCTCGATTATCCATCGACCACAATACGTATTAAAATCTAGTTATACCACAGCCATCCGATAGCATCGGGAGTTGATTATGGTCTTGGTAAGTTAATTAACGTCTAATTAATAATTTATATAGCATTTCTGACCTAAAGAAAGACCTGCAATAGTCAATTTTAACTCTTGAATTATGCTTGTTTAGCTTATAAAAGTTTGTTTTATTAAAACTACTTTTGTCTTGACCTCTACACACTTAGCATTATATTCTGAAAGTCGACATAGAAATGTCAGTGTGGGACGTTAAACCCCATTTCATTTTATTTTTCATTCTGGCATATTGGAGCTTCAAATAACAATATCTTGTTCTAGAAAAACAAAAAATCTATGACGCATTATAATAAAATATAAACATTTAATTACACATTATTTATCCACAACTAAAAAATAAATACACCTTACTATTTGTAGTTATTCTCCTGTTAAAGAACACATCCATACATTATTTACAACAATAATTAATTCATCCACATACGCAATCTAATTAGCTACTTGGATATGTTGGATATGATGTAGGTGAAAGATATCAGCCACTGTATTCGGTTAAAGCCGTTGATCGTCATTTGGAGGTTTTGATTCGGTTAAAGCCGTTGATCGCATTGGAGGTTTTGATTCGATTAAAGCGTTGATCGTCATTTGGAGGTTTTGATTCGGTTAAAGTCGTTGATCGTCATTTGGGGTTTTTGATTCGGTTAGAGCCGTTGATTATCATTGGGGTTTTTGATTCGGTTAAAGCCGTTGATCGTCATCGGGGTTTTTGAATAAACAGCATTCGTTTAAAGCCGTTAGCGTCACTGTTTTGTTCTTTGTTTGTTTGGTTTTTTTGAATCAACAGCATTCGGTCAAATTGTTAGGTCATTATATTTATTTTGTTGTTAAAGATGCTAGACACATTGCGAGTTCCATATATCAAAAAATCAAAGACCTTGTATGTTTCGTAGACTTTTGGAACGGTACCACATCAAACAGTCTTTGATTTCCACTTTATACACATTTTCCACATTTTTCATTTTCGATAAACTGCTGTGAATAGCTGATAGACATCGGGTTGTCTTACAATTTGATATGTCAGAATTCTCTGTTGCAAAAAAGTGCAAATTCATTTTGTATTCTCAGGAGACTAGAGTTATTTTAATGAGAGTGCGAACGCTTCTTTAAATTTGAGTAAATTTTGTATTAAATTAACATCGTTCGTCCAGAACGCATCCAACAATATTCGAAGAATTGTTATTCCATCCCAGTCTATGATTAAATAACGGAACTAGTATCACTGTCCGTTACCAATTGAGCTCCGTCTCTCCGCCTTGAACTCATGTAACAGAAAAACTTGATGCTTTTTCTATAGTAAATGACAAGGAAACTCGCTACACCAGTAATGAAAGAAGCAGTCACAACAGATGCTATTAAAATCACATTTCGATGACGCTCTGTACAATCCTGTTTGTAATCTATAATACTTATCGGTTCAGATGTGTCCAATTTTATGCATCCATTTACGTAACCTATTTCAAAAAATTTTTCCGCTTCTTTTTTCATCCAGTCTCGAAGCCAAGAAATGGCACACGAGCAAATGAGGGGATTGTTGTCTGTTCCGACAGCAGTCAGACGATCTCTCAGTTCTGGAGGGAAAGCCGATTCGTTCACTTTCGTCAGCCGATTAGAATTCAGGTTTAATATAGTTAAATTTGGAAGATCCGAAAAAACACCCTTTTCCAACTTTGCGATCTTGTTTTCACTAACGTCCAATTGTGTTAATTTTTTATGAATAATTTTTGGTAACGAATCCAAACGACAGTTCCTGAGAGACAGGTCTTGCAGATTTGGTGGGAAAAACTTGCTTATTTCTGAAGATTCAAAGAACGACAGGCTGTTAAATTCATTTCCCGCCAAGTCCAAGCGAATCAAATTATCCAACGAAGTAAAAGTTTTCTGGCTTAATATATCTGTATTAAGTTCATTGCCAGCCAGGGAAAGTTCTTCAAGAGATTGGCTCGTGAACGCCGTGGGTGAGATCTTTATTGGAACCCTCAGCATGTAGTTCATCCGTAGAATCCGTAAAGAGGACATTTCTTTTATCAAATTTTCGGGAACGAAAACCGATGGATTCTGACCAAGAGATAGTTCGTGGACGTTGCAAAGGCACCTTAGATCTTTCGCGTAGAAATTGGTGATGAAATTATCTTCCAAAAGGAACGTTGTCAGATTAGGAAAAATGGCATTTCTGGTCGGACAAATCAAAGGAATTTCGGTAAAACTGTTTGAGCGTAGATCCAGTTTCTTCAAAACTGGGAAGATGATTTCTTCGGAAGGGCCCATGAAAACGAACAAACGATTTTGGTTTAACGACAGTTCTTGTAAAGCTGTCAGATTTATCAACATCCGGACGTCAAATACTCCTAATTTATTCTGACTCAAGTCGATTGTTTGCAGTGCATTTTGGGTCGTAAAAGGCTCGAAAATATTAGATGGAATTGACTCATCCTGCAGGCCCATCTCTTTTAATAACAGGTGCTGTATATTTATGTGTTTCAAGCTCACCAGGGCTTTTTGTAATCCGTCTGAATAATGTAGAAAATTCTTGCTTAGGTCCAATTTTTTTAAATATGTGAGCCGTGAGAAAGCCATGGGGCTGATTGATGTGATATCATTGTCGGATAAATCTAACACTTGAATCTTGATTCCAGCACCAGCGGATATATTCTGGAACGTATCTCTATAAACATCCCCTAAAGTATTGGTCCGAAACAGGAGTTTTGTCGTCGGTATAGGGACACTGGGAATATAAGTTAAATCCACGCCCTGGCTGTCACAAACCACAGTGGTAGAAGACTCACATTCACAACCGTCGGGACATCCTGGGTATTGCTTCTGCTTGATTATCCGGGTACTCACGGTCAGAACTAAACAAACGGTCAGACACAAACGTAACACAAATGGGGCAGCCATAACTGTTGTGGTTTTCATTTCATTTCAGTGCTGTTTGACTGACCTTATCACCGTGCGGGATGGGTTATACTACCCTTGATATGTCAAACAAGAGCTCAGTACAAACTTTAATTGGGTCAAACAATATGCAAGACACTGTAAAAAATTAAAAAATATCAATGTTCAAATTTCAAACACAGTGGTATGTTGAAAGATGAAGCTTAATGTGCTTCGTTCTGGCCATGTCGCATTAATGGTAATAACTTCAACTAGTAAATACGATTCGTTACACGCTGCGGTTCATATGTTCCATTTGTACACTTAAGGCGGGTTTTCGAAATAAATTGTAGGCATGTTTTACCTTGACTTCGGTAAGATAACTCTACCTAGAAAGCAGAAAACATAACCCGTGTAATGTTATTCGGAGCCTTTTTAATGCCGAAAACGCGTAATTACCGATTCGAACGCAGCATAAATATCTATCGTAATGATATCAAAATTCCACAAGTTCATCTTCGTCGCGGTTTCAAGCGATCTTCGTCAAGCGCGATCACGGACGATTGAATCAGATCACAAAAAAAAAACTGTAGAGCAGAGACGAGTCGAGAAGGGCTTGGAGACGAGTAGAGAGGTGCAGGGAGACGAGTAGAGAGGTGCAGGGAGACAGGGAGACGAGTAGAGAGGTGCAGGGAGACAGGGAGACGAGTAGAGAGGTGCAGGGAGACAGGGAGACGAGTAGAGAGGTGCAGGGAGACGAGTAGAGAGGTGCAGGGAGACGAGTAGAGAAGGGCAGGGAGACGAGTAGAGAGATGCAGGGAGACGAGTAGAGAGGTGCAGGGAGAAGAGTAGAGAGGTACAGGGAGACGAGTAAAGAAGAGGAGAGAGACGAGTAAAGAAGATCAGAGAGAGACGGACGAGTAAAGAAGATCAGAGAGAGACGGACGAGTAAAGAAGAGGAGAGAGACGAATAGAAAAGTGCAGAGACATGAGTAACGAAGAGCAGGGAGACGAGTAAAGCAGAGCAGAGAGACGAGTAGAGAAGGGTAGAGAAGAGCAAAGGACGATAAGAAGTAGAGAATGCGAGCGGGGATTAGACCCCATATGATGGTAGCACCAGGGCGTAAAGTGTTAGAACGATTACCGCAAATGTTCCTAACGACTAACCCTTACCCTTGTTTACTGTGGCGTGTGATACAGGTGATGAAAGATCCTAGTATCTGGTTGAAATGCATTCCACAAATCCATTATTGGGCAATGTTGCCTCCATAACAGCTGACTAGTCTTAGCATTTTAGCTACACGTTGTGACGGATGTCGTGCACGGAACGGAGAGAGAGAGAGCGAGAGAGAGGGTGGGGGTGGGGGTTCCGGTGACTCTCAGAGATTAAGTGAAAAAGTTATTCATTTGTGTATTCTGAATCAAAGTAGAACTATAAATTATTAATTACAAGGGGTTAAAGTAAAGTAGGTTACAAACTAGGTCATTTCGGGACTAACATGTGGTTCCGGAGAGTAGGACACAGTGTCGCTGCCTGGGCAAAATTTCCCTCATAGCACACTGCTATATGTTATATGTTAATTTAACACATGTTAATTTAGCGTGGACTGCTAAAAATAGACATATGCTATAATTATTTAATAAGCTACATATTTATATAGATATCACGTATTTATTCTCTCTCTCTCTCTCGCTTTTTTTGTTTTTATTAAAGTGGATCATCTAACTAATGCTATAATCTACCAAGCGCCGATCCACGAATTTTCGTACTGGTTGGTGGTTGGTTGGTGTCTGTCTGGGATCGGGTATCCAGAGGGAGGGGGAGGGGTTGGGGGGCTAATTATACCTATAGATTGACATAATAGGCCTATAGATTGGCATTCAGACTATGTAAATGATAATTTTCTCATACTTTATTAATTTGAAGAGTGTATTTATTTTATTGGTACTTCAACAAAATCAGTGTTTAAACAATAAAAAAGCAAGCTGTATAGCATAGATTAAACTCATCACAGCGTACACAGATTAGAATGGGTTCCTCGGGCAAATACCCAGTGTGTGTGTATACATTAAGACAGTCATGGCACTGGAACACAATTTAAAAAATCCAGGGGCCTTCACCTTGTGGAATACATGTCTCTAACTTTAAGTGAACACGTTCGCCAATCGGAAAATCTCTTCACAGATTAACATCCCCATCTTCCATGGCGGCATCTTGCTTTGGTGTTGATATCATTTCTACCGTGTATCCTATTCCCGCCCCCTTTGGTCAATTCTTGTTTTCCCAGATACTCCATCTTGTGGAGTGGAACGCTCCCACCCGGATTACAAAACCTCAATTTATTCTATCATAACTATTCCCTTTTCCAATGGCGACACTCCCTGCCTTTGGACAACTCTCGATTTTTCTGATGACATGGAATTCTGATCTGTGGTGGGGACCACAAATAACTCTTATTACTTGGATTTCCTTCCCCTGTTTCACTATACATCCTTCAAACCCTAAACAACTTAAGCGTTTCCATTGAGCACCTTACTTCCCCCACCCCAAGGCAACCTTGTCCATGTGGATTACCCGTCCCCCCACCCTTTCTGCGTGCAACACCTACTTTCATGAGTTGTTCTTTCTCACAGAAGGGGGTTTATGTGTAAAATGAATGGAAGCGTGGGAAACAGTTTTCAGAAATATATTTTGTTTGAATAAACCTGTTAGTGGGCCATCAACATACCCTTCGAGCCACTGTGCTTCCCTTGGTTAGTGAGTCATGGTCATACGCACGGAGCTACCGTGGCCCCAATAACAAACAACTAAATGGAGACTTTTTAATTTTTTTATTGGCCACAATACAGCATTAAGGTGGTACGGTATATTATTGGAACCAACAGAAGAGCTGTTGTAAACAGATTATAGCCATCGCATGCTAACAGAACAAAAATAGGTAAACATTAGCCAATAATAATAACACATGAACTTTGACCTTCATTCCTATTCAATACACAGGTTACAGATAAAAGATTCATTGTGTCCAAAGGCCTTATTCAAGAAATCTAAATTCCATAAAATTGAAGTTTTCTTGCATATGGTCCCTGGGTTGTAGACAAGTTATGGGTCTGACTTTATTTAAAAGACTGGACCTGAGCATGGATGGGTGAAAATTTCTTATGTGAAAATAAAAATAATAAAGTTTTAAATTTATTGTATAAAAACAATTTGTAGATCTTAACCAGAAAATTTTAATTTTAAACCTGGTGTTCATGGCTCCCGTCTAAACAGCTCAAAAAGCTAATTGGCTTTCATTTGGTCAAAAATTCACAATATCTATAAATGTACATGCTGTTGAATATTTAAAACATTGGGCATGCTTTGAGAAAAAAAAAATATACAAACATTGAAATGATGTGAGGTTTATTATCTTATCGTAAACGCGAATGGGGCAGGTTGTGATTTCTAGAACACCCGATGGTATTTTTCTCTGAAAACTTGGTGTAAAATTGGAGCTGGTGGGAAATGATTTCTGAATGATAAAAACAGGTCTATCAGACCACTGACACCACATCATTTTTCTTCAAGTTTTCAACTTCTAAGAAGGTAATTTAGAATGTTACGAGGAATTTAGAGGAACCACACCTCTTCCTTATAATTATGCAGTAAAAACATCACTAGACATGACTTTCACATCCAATATTTTGTAGTTTTGCATTAATGCCCTTCGATTTAAATGTACATATGAAATACAATGAGTTATCCTATGAATTAATAAATACATCTATAGTGGTATTCTAGCTATAGCCAGTACTCTAGCTCTAGTCATTAATTACTACAGAAGAAAGGAAAAGGGACTTCATGAAATCATATCCAAATAACTTGTAAGATTCACCATATCTCCCATCCAAATTAATCTTTTGTCTCAATGGGTTCCTTAATCAAATCTTAATTGGACTTTCATCAAAATTTTGTATGATATCTTCATACCCCTGTGATAAGAATACAATTAAGGTTCCGTGTCCCTGTGATAAGAATACAATCTAGGTTCTGTGTTAACATAAAATCAATTTGTAGATCAACAGAATGAATATATACGACCAGCATAATAAAACTAAATGTGTATACAAGTTAATGATTTAAAAAAAAAAGTAAATTGAATAATGGAGATAATATACTGATAAGTATAAAATAGTGGTGCAACAAAGGACACAAAATATTCTGTTTTCTAACACTTGAGATGTTGAATCTTACAGGATCTCTTTTATAAAAAAACCATGGTGAATTCAATAACTATTTAAAACCATGAATAGTTAAAGTATTTTCAATAAAATTGTTCATGGCTTCCCATGCCAACATCATACAGTAATAATCTTTCGGATGCATTTAATAGTAACTGGATCGAAACATAAAACAGACTTACAGGAAAACATCTAATATAATTGGGTGATCTTTCCAACAGTTATTGCCCAAATATATTAGTAATCATTTTCCATGTGTGTTTATAGCTTTTCATACAACAAAATCCCATTTTAACCATGGATTATTAAGATTCAGATTTCTTCAAAAACGGAAATTGGGGTTTTACTGGACGAAAATTAATTAACAAACACATATTATAACTTGCAGCCAATGAAAATATTATATCCTTGATATGCCTTTGTCTTTTGAGAATCTGGGATCCAAGAGTTTTGGCCATCTTATCTCGGCCTGTTGTTGCATCATTATTTATAAATATTGAAATAATACTAAAAAAATCACCATCAACAATTAACATTGCACTTTAAAATTGTCTTTTAATGGAATCACACATAAGGTCGTATTTAGAATTGTCAAAATATATGTAATGGAAATACTTTGATTTCTAAAAATTTCATATACTCTATGGTTTCCAAAAAGGATAACACCATTATATTCCTGTGAAAATTATTGTTTCATAAAGGACAAAATCTAAAATTGTATAATGAACCTTTGTAGCGGCCATCGGGACTCTCTTATGGTTTTTATAATGAATAATATCCTACATGCATATTTTAATATCTAAAGTGTACAGTATTGTGCAATTATGTGTTTCTAAAAGGAATAATAATTTAAGTGTATGGGCACTGTCTTATGATTTATAAAAGGTATAATATCAAGTGAATAGTTTTGTGGAATAATATTTTACGAGTATAGTTTTGTGGAATAATATTTTACGAGTATAGTTTTGTGGAGTTAGGGTTTCTAAAAGAAATAATATCTTAAATGAAGTGGAGTCGAGTTGGTTTCTGAAGTTAAATACATAACAGCTCAGATCTATTCTACAAAAAGCAAAAAAGAGAAATGTCCCCCATATAGGCAGTGTCGAAAGATACGAAAATCTCTTTATGCTATCTTGCTCTTTAAATTTATGCAATAAGAAATAACATATATCTATCTACCAAACAAATTTGTACAAAATTATTTTTGGATAATGACCAAATGATTTCATCAACATCGCAAACAGTGGATTGCAAAAATACATGGAAGAATTACAAAACAGTAAATACATATTTAAAAAGTCACTTGGATTGAAAATCACAATATAAAAAGCACATTTTAAGTTTTTTTTTAAAGATAAAAAAAGCACTAAAAAATACAAGGGTAAATTGAGAATACTGGAAGGAGCAAAGGAACGTTTTAAAAACATTTACAAAAATTTATATTTGTCAAAATAATGCCAAGCAAGCACAAAAATTATACATGTACATGAATAACATTTTTAGCTGTCTCTCAGTAAACTGATGAATTATCGTTAACATTACATAATTTTAGCGAACACGAAATATATAATATGTGGTTTTAGAACAATACGGTTTAATTGGATTCCTTTTGTTTCTGTACTAATGGCAATTTGTTTTTAAGACTTTGAAATTTTGCTGAAATAAAATGCCATTAACAATAAGACACCTCCTTAATAACAGATGTCCACATCAACTGTTTTCTAATCTAAAACACAGCAAATTTGGAATTCAAACAGACCTCTGTCTAGACAAAAATAAAATGGCCTAAACCGGGGCCTTATTCTCCAAAAATTTGAACTAAACTATTTTAAGAATGCAGGTCCAACTACCAACCAATGAAATGGCGACATTCTCGTAATATTTTAATTTTCATGAATAAGGCCCATAGTCTTTAGGCCTGGAAGTTTCTGAATGTGTAAAAGCATCCAAAATACAAGTCAATGACAAGATATGAATCACATGAATTTAGGCTCAAACTTGCGTAAAATAATGAGCTGGTGGCAACATGACAAGCAAACAAGATTACAAAATATAACCAAGCATAAAAATCATGCAAAAAAAGAAAATATAGTATATCAAATAATGACGATTAATGAAAACATTGTACTGCTGCAACAAGAAAGAATGATTCAACATTTTGTGGTGATTTACATCAAATATATCAGAGTATTTAATGAACTGAACAAAGAAAGTAAATATTCTCCTTCCATTTTAGGTTTCTTCACCTATAAAAGATATTTCTAAATAACAATTTGAGATTCATTTCATTGTAAAATGTTATTTTAAGCTTACAACCTGAAGATCTCTCTTTATTCAACGCTTGTCAAAGTCTTAAGTCTATTAATTAATTAAGACAGTAATTAGATTACAGAAAATTATCAAATTTATAAATCTGCAAAAAATAATCAATTTTGTATTTTGACCACAACCAATCATTAGTTCTGAATTCTGACGATGAGAGAGAAAATAGCTTAGAAAAGGCAAGATTATAATATAACATATAGGCACGAACAGTATTCACCACGGCACAATGTAGATATATATATATATACATGTATATATATACGGCACAATGTAGATATATATATATACGTAGCAAAAAACAATTGAGCACAAAAAATACAGTAGAGCTAAACTAAATTAAAGCTTATTTGGAATCCATCTCATGAAAAAAAGCAGATTGCATGATCACAATTTATACTCTGATAAAAATGGAACATTGACTGTGTTTCAAATAGTCAATGTTCCAATACATTTTAGAATTGATATTGTACTATATTTCAAATTGATATTGTACTGCATTTTAGAATTGATATTGTACTGCTATTTCGAATTGATGTTGTACTATATTTCAAATCGATATTGTACTATATTTCAAATTGATATTGTACTGCTATTTCGAATTGATGTTGTACTATATTTCAAATCGATATTGTACTACATTTTAGAATTGATATTGTACTGCTGTTTCGAATTGATATTGTACTGCTGTTTCGAATTGATATTGTACTACATGTATATTTCAAATTGATATTGTACTATATTTCAAACTGATATTGTACAGCATTTTAGAATTGATATTGTACTGCTATTTCAAATTGATATTGTACTATATTTCAAATTGATATTGTACAGCATTTTAGAATTGATATTGTAGTGCATTTTAGAATTGAGATTGTACTATATAACCTATTGATATTGTACTGTATTTCGAATTGATATCGTACTTTGTTTGAAACGACCCAACTCCAAGACAGCTCTCCATACAGTCAGTGCTATTCACTTGTTCAGAGTGAAATTGGCTAACTAATTAATTGTTAAAATTGACTGGCTGTCCAATCAATTGTCAATATTCTTGAATAGAACAATCCGGTTTATATTAAAAATAAAGTTGAGTAATTTTTAATTATTCTGATTTAGCATACAACGTCTTCATCACCATACCTACACAATTTACATATTCAATAATTCAGAGAACATTTGAGCATAGAGAATAAAAAGAAAAGGAGTAACAATTTTTTGACAATAATGCCATTGCATTGAGGTGTAAAAAGCCTACATGTATATAATAATTCACTTAACCTTAACTGATTGAACTATCACTATGGTAACTAAACAACACTAGAGTAAAAATAGTTCAATAAACTTTAATCAGATGAACACAAATTTCCTGGGAGGCAGTTTAGTTTTACCAATAATATTCTTAATGTTATCTTGATGACAACAAACCTAGATGTAATAATGATACATGCAATAGGCTGATGTGTTGATCACCATAAATATGGTATCTTTTTAAACTTTTTGAATTTAGTTCTTGTCATATATTAGACCGTATTACACCCCCCCACCCACCATAAATGTGTGTTTATGGTATGGCCTACAGAATGTAATGTATTTCTTTTTAATGTGTATGTTAGAATTTAAGACAACGGTTTTACAAATGCTTTTATATTCTGGCCAATCTTAAAGTTTGCCTCCTTAAAAAATCTGTATTCATGTGAAGACCTACAACCTGTATTAATAAACTACAGAATTACCTCTCATTATTTACACAAATTCTTTATTATAAGCCAAGCAGAAAATTATATGTTATATAACTAAGCGAAGATAGACACAGAAAATTGCACAAATTTATTTGAATATATGAATTAACTTATTATTAATTATATTACTGATACTACTATTGACTAGATTTCATTAACTTAACTTGGACTTTAGAAAGCCAAAAATAACAAACCGACTATAAATGCCATTTGTGGGGGTTAAAAATCAGATCTATATTTCTTGTTGAGACAAAATTTGACTGGATTGAATCACAATAGCTTGTACGTCCGACAGAATCAGCCAAATCACTGACATTTAAAAGACTTAAAAGTTTGAGAATTCAGCTCGGTATTCCGTGTTTAAGGAATTTATTATTGAAATTACATTTTATGGGATTTAACAACATTTACTGTAACTTTTCCAACAGAATGAGCCAACAAAAATAGTATTTGTAGAGGCCTAAAAAGCCTGATTTGTTGTCATGTATAAGAGATTTCATAATGACAGAATATATGAAATATATACAAAAAATGAAAGAAATCGGAAGGTAAGAAAATTAGATGCATATGAAATGTAAATACATTTTGTACGTGGTTTAGAACCAACATTTTTTTAAAGCCAAAATAAAGCTTTTTGAATATGATTATGGCTCAATGAATTCATTTATCATCAACAACAATAAAATTAAGCTAAATTATTCAATAAAAAGTATCAACAATCTTTGTAAATATGGCAAATGTTAACATTGACTTTAAGCTAGCTACATGTAGCATGTTGACAGAACTCTATTTAATTTCTTCTTATTATTTTAAAATTTTGATGTTCTTCTATCAAAAAAAATAATTTTATTTATATGGATTTATGTAAGAAAATTCATTAACTTTCAAATTCATATTAATATTGAAATAGACATGAGACTCTTTTTCTTATTTTAAAATTTTGATTTCATTTCTGTCTGAAAATTTTTAATTTTAAAATTTATTATTTGCCATTTAAAAATTTTGATTTTAGTTTGTCCATCAAAAAAAAAAAAAATTTTCTTTAATGGATTTCTGTATGAAAAATGATTAACCTTAAAATTTAATAAATTAATATTGAGAAGTATATTTCAATTACATAATTGAATAATTCATAAAACTTTGTAGCACTAAAAGTCTATAAAATATTTAGAGTTATCTTCTCTTAAAGTCCGTGAAGCTACAAAATGGTGGCTCTTATGGAGCTTGTGTACCTTAGCAACAATTACATAAATTATTTTCACTAACTACTACAATTCAGTCTGATCTAACCGACACGTCCAAAAGCAAAATTTCACCTACTAAATTCGACACCACCTAGTTACGCAAATTCATTGCTTGTCTACTTCTGGCATCTCAATAATACACTTTGTCGAGACTGGTTAAAATGTCCATCCAAGATGGTTAGAAAATGGTGAAAAGAGAACAAATAGTAAATATTTTGTTGCATACCGTAAAAAGCGTTGGTTTCATCAATTTAGTACAAAACGATTACTACATTAAATTCATGATTTTTTTTTTGAGAAACACAGACATTTATTATATATAAACTAGAATAATATCGACGATGTGTTATTCACTTAAAATAAATGCAAAAAAATGTTACATTCCCGCGAAATAAACCAAAAGTTATTATAAAATTGACAGATCTTACGAAAATGTAAACAAGCTTATCGAGGAAATTAAGATGCTGTCTGCTGAACGGGGGTAGGACTGATGATGTCAGCTAACTTATCCTTCTTTTCTTCAGCCATGTCTGCTACTTCTGTAATCAAAAAAATAAATAAAATATAACAAGTACATTAAATCCACGAAACGAACACATGGTGCAGAAGATGCTAGTGCCTAATGAGTAAGTCTAGATGTCAGGTACAATATCTCTAGTATCTGGCACAGATCCGTCTATATTCCTATTTTTGTATATCGATATAATTAATACACATAGTTCCACTTTGCTGACTCATCTGTATATAACAAATTAGTTGGGGGAGGGATTATTTTCAGTTCATAAACTAATGTTCAAAAAACAAATAATGTTTAAAAAACAAATAATGTTCAAAAAACAAATAATGGCTTCCATTTGTGAGATCTGGTCCCGAATTCACAAAGCATTCTCAAACTTTGAATATCTGTTTATGAGGAATATCTTTGATCCAGAAAAACAAAACTTGGCACAAAGTTTTTTATTGACGGATTTTGATACATTAAAACAAAAGTTATAAAAAGGGCTATACTAGTTTAGTTAAGGGTTGCATGGAGAGAGAAAGAGATTTAACATCCAAGAAAAACAAACTTGGTCATCTCATGACTAACATATGGCTTTTCCTTATATCAAGTCGAGATCTAAAACAAAAACAAGGCAATGAAATTAAATAAAAATACGAATGACTAACCAGCAACTTTCTTTTCTAAATCATCTTTAATTTCACCAACATCCTTTTTAATTTCATCCATCTTTTCTTCGGCTTTCTCCTTGGCCTCTTCAACAACCTCTCCAACTTTCTCTTTAACTTCCTCTACTTTACTCTCAGCACCTTCCTTAGCTTCTTCAACCTAATAAAAAAAACCTTGGAATGAAATAAATTATAACAATACTGTCAGACATGTGGTTTACCTTCCTGGTTTTCTACTCCGAACACTGGAATAAAAACAAGAATAAAAACAAGAAGAAATCCAGCTGGGGAATTCCAAGGAACTTTCTTCGGCCAGTAACTATCTGAAGGAATTATTGAAACTATTTCCTTTAAGATAAACTAGCTGAACGAATTATTGAAGTTATATCCTAATGCTAAAATATCTGAACAAATTATTGAAACTATGTTCTAATAATAAAATATATGAACAAATTATTGAAACTGTCTTCAAGCCACTTGTATGATCGGAATGTAGCTAAAAGATCAAATTTGTATATTTTTTTAAGGAAAAGTCAGAAGCTATTGAGTACCTTATCCTTCGCTTCATCCTTTACTTCTTCTACTTTGGCTTTAGCTTCTGCTGCTTTCGCTTTAGCTTCCTCCTTTGCTTTCTGTGCTGCTTCTTTCGCTTTCTGTTTCTCTTGTTTAATTCGTTCTGCCTCTTCCTTAGCTTTCTGTTTAGCTTCCTCTTCCCTTGCTGCAATTATAACATGGAATGGTGTTTTTAAAACCTAATTGAGACATTCTGTCAGTTTGGGGAGCCAGGGTAGCTCTGGGGTCCAATTGCGCTGACTGTCACTGTAATCCGGGTATCATTTAATCTTGTGTATTTAACACTAATTTCTTTCACATTCATTCAAAATCAAATCTGTTTGAAAATTTGTAAAAATCATCTAAAATCACCAAAAATTGTCTATTTCATACTTGTGTCCAAGATTAAAATGAGGTCCTGTGTATACCAGCAAATTAAAGATCCCCTGACAGATGAGGATATCAGGCCATGTGCATAAACCCTAATCATGTTTGAAAGTTGATATCCATACCTTTGATTTCCTCTGGTGTTGGGGGTACTGGAGCATCTAGAGGCTCGAACCCCTCCATATGACAATAACGAGCACTTAGTTCCCACATCTTTTTCTGTAATTCTTCATCGAGAGATTCATCAGATGATTTCTTCTCCTCCATACTAGTAAAATATTTACCATTTACACCTAAAAAACAAATATTAATTTAAAAAATTACACTTGGTAATTATTTAATCTCTCTAGTCCATCTAAAAAAAATAAATATTAATTAAAATACAGGTTTGACATCATCCTTTGATGTTGGTGTACCATTATTTCAAATAGTACAGGTAACATGCCAATCGTACATTACACTAGATGAAATATATGACCCATGTGATGATTTCATTGAAATGTACGTGCAGGACATTATCTGTATTTTGAGTTATGTCCTCATGCAGTATCATTATACTACACAATGTCTCGCTCTCGACCATTAAGGCACACATATTTACAATTAATTGAATGAAATGGGGTTTAATGTCCTAATGTTCTGCTCCGACTGGGATAATGAAGATAGGCATGATGAAATACAGTGTGCTATGAGGGAAATTTTGCCTGGGCAGCGGCACTATGGCCAACTTTTATACTGAATTCCTACTGCCAAGGAATTTTTTATGTGCACGCCAATCTATACATGTGTCCTCGGTTATTCATCCCATCTGAACGACTATACAGCTGTCCTTGTCAGGCCCTCCGTCCTGCATCAATGACAAGAGGAAAACATGTTGGAAAATCCTGATAAACTTTCTCGGCCAATGCAGGTATCGAACAAGCGACCTCCATGCTAGCGAACCAACATCTTACCCACTTAGCCACCGTGGCTCTTATTTACAATAAAACCTTGTCATCAACAACCCTCGTCTACCAAAACTAATTCATATCTGTTGGCATGGAAACACAAAAACGATTAAATTCAAGATTTGGGGTGGACAGGGCCCTTTTCAATCTCCATTCCTTAACTTAACTTGATGTGAGATAATTAGGTATTTCAATCAAAGCATAAAATTCAGAAATTTCAGGGAGAATTTGTAAACCAGAATATTTTTTATTATATGACCTAACTTGTATTTAATATAATTACCTTTGAGTTCTTCATTAATGGCTAAATTTACTTCAGCTCGTGCACCCTGGTCAACAGTACGAGTTATTTTAGTGAATTTTAACAGACCACCAAGAACGTAGCGGGTAAAAAATCTAACAGGTGCACTGGCGGTTCGTCCTAATTCTGTATGTGGAACAAATCCTGAAAATATAATTTACATCAATCTTCAAACAACGATGCAGTTTGCTATGAGGGATATTTTGTTCCGACAGTGAGACAAGACCTACTCTTAGTTTGATTTTGAACTGCCAGGGGATCTTTAATGTGATGTCAATGATATACACTGGATCTCAGCTCTCATCCCATCCGTGGGATTAGACACTTTTCCTTTGATGTCCTGCATCAAAGTGTTAAATGGGGTTGAATGTCCACTTGACACAAAACTAGGTCATTTCGGAACTAACATATGGTTCAATTATACTCCAAAAATTCACTTGCACATATGAATCTTTAGCAGTGGGAGGAAACTGGAGGACCCGGAGAAAATGTATGAGGTTCGACAGGCAACCCTACATCTTGTCAGAAAAACTGTGGAATCGAAACCATGCCAGTTGACTCGATGACAAACCTTATGATACAACGAGTACGCGCTAACCATTTGGAATCCAACCACCCCCACATAAAAGACAAGGGAAAACCAGGATCGAACCTGAGCGCCATATTCACTGAGTCACCGTGTCACCCTGTTATCTTTCAAGCAATATGTAAGAAGCAAGGAGATAAATGGTATTTAACAACAGCTCAAAACAAATCAGGTAATTTCGGGACTAACATATAGTGAATTTTTATTTTAATAATCTGCTTGTGTGTAGGGGTCTTCAATGAAAACACTGGATGACCAACAGGGGACATGATAAACTGGAGAATTACCTGGACAAACACAGTTGACGGTCACACCTGATCCTTCTATCTGTCTAGCCAACTCGTATGTAAACAAAATATTAGCTAATTTAGAGTTTTTATAGGCCTGGGCTCCATTATAGGCTCCAAGTTCAGCAAGAAAAATATCATCAACATTGGTAGCAACAGTAGCTGAAAATATTAAATCATTTAGGATATATTATTAAACATTTATTTAAATATATCCAATAAATCATAATATTTTATAAAATTGAATAAATCCTGATATATCATTAACCATATACAAATTAAATATATATTAACACAACTCAGGTATCATTTAGTTGTGCTGTTTTAGCAGGTGTTTCAGTATTTATACACTGTCACTGTATATCATTTTGTATTATAGAACATTTGGATGGGATGAAAAACTGAAGGTAAAAGAAACCTTAGGATAAAGTGCTGCTGCCTGGTCAAAATTTCATCCATACATGTAGCACATTGTATGGTGTATGACTGTTTTCATTAGCAGATAAAAAGGATGTTAAACTTATTTTGGAAGTTTTTATTATTTAATACTTACGTGCATGTTTAACCTTGGTATCATGAAGTGACGATGTCACCACTACTATTCGTGAATCTCCAGTTTCTTTAGCTGTCTGCTTCAGATCATCCAACAACAGATTGGTCAATAGAAAATGACCTGAAAATATGGTAGAAATCTTAAAATAAACCATAATACTAGTAGCTAGCGTGTTGGAGTTATTCTGTTACATTTTACAAAATATCTCCATTGTTGGGGTGACTTGAGTAGTTATTTAGACATGACCAAAAGACAAGGTCAAAGTGTGCTCGCACATAAAAAACCCTTGACAGTTGGACAAAGAAGAAGAGATATCAGAAAGCCTGCTATCTGGGCAAAATTCCCCTCCATGACATTGCACTTGTGAAAAGAGACATAAAAATAATCAACCGTATTTAGTCTGAAATTGACTGAAGTACTGTGTTGTGAGACGTGAAACTCTATTCCAATACCTACCTAAATGATTAACTCCCATGGTCATCTCGAAGTTGTCTTTAGTAAAAGTTCTAAGTGGTGATTTACTTGGGAAAACGCCAGCATTGTTGATCAAAACATTCAATTTCTTATCCAGTTTACGAAATTCTTCAACAAATGAACGAACGGAGGCAAGATCGGCCAAATCCAGCTGAAATTAAGACAAAGAAGTTATTTCAGATGAAAAAATAAACTTGGTTGTTTTGCTCATATTGTCCATTTGAGAGAAAGAGAGAGAGACTAGGCCATTTTGGGACTAACATATGGTTCAATTTTATTTCAGTAATTCACATGCGAATAGGGGTCTTTAGCAGTGGGAGGAAACTGGAGGACCCAGTGAAAACCCACGAGGTTGGAAAGGTGACCCTACACCTTATCACGTACAAAGGGGGAATCGAAACCACGCCAGTTGACTCAATGACAGACCTTATCATACAACGCCCTTGCGCTAACCATTCGGCTACCCCCCCCCCCCGTTTTAATAAACAAAATCAAGTTAAACTGTAATAAAATAAAAAAGAATACAAATGTACATGTATTACCTTTAGGAAAGTGGCGAGAGCATTTGGGTTATCTTTTAAAATGGTTTCTACGGCAGCCTTTCCTTTCTCTTCATTTCGACAAGCTAGAATCACCTCATTCCCACCTTCACATAATATTTTAGATGCTAGAAATCCAAGACCAACGTTAGCGCCAGTAACTATTATTACACGACCCGTCATACTCATTTATTTCCTGAAATAAAAAACCACATATTTAAAACCCTTTCACATGTATGACAAGATGTGTTGGATCCACCTGGGCCTCAAGGTCTATATGGCCTCTCACTGTCATAAGCCTTTCTAAAGCCTACATATACAACTCATATGTTTTGACATGCACCGGTCGTACGGTTTGGTAGATCGCAGAATGTGCAGGACTAAGTCTCTGCAGCGAGTCTGCGATCTTCTATGGTGCCAAACACACGCAAGTGATTTGTAAGTCTCTTGCAAGGGTTTACTAAATTTTCCCCCGTAGACTACCAGTAGTAGCACGTAAGGTGAGTCTTAAATATCTGCCATTATTATCCTCGGCTAAGCTTACTTGTGTTTAAATTGTTAAATTGTGCTTTCGTCTTCCTTTAGTCATGAGGGTGAGGCATGAGGGTATTGGGGGGGGGGGTATAAGTGGAACAGCCTAGGCTTTATCTCCATCTTTATCCGGCAGTGGTATGGCACTGATGGCAGGGAAGCAGAAATTTGGGTACAAGGCTTTTTAAACGCCCATACATGTATGTGTTTACGTGATTTTTGAGAACTGTTATTGTTAAATGGATTCCACCTGGGAATATTTGGCAACAATATCATACACTGTTCCAGTGTTTAGTTCAGCATTATCCAATGTTCAATTCAAGTTAAACGGTCAGCACTAGAATGACCAGTGTTTGGATCCAGTGATGGAATGAGAAGAATCTTCATGATTTTTCCAGCCTGTTGTGGTGACTGAGAGGCTGATAAGGAATGTGTGCCTACTTCAAAATGTTTGGATAGATTGAAAAATTGAGGTCCACCTGTGGATATATTTGCATGCACAGAAAAGAGAGAAATGTGTTATAACATCCACCGGACAAAAACTAGGTTATTTCGGGACTAATATATGGTTCAATTTTACTTCAATAATTTGCTTGAGCGTAGGGGTTATTAGCAGTGGGAGGAAGCCGGAGGACCCAGAGAAAATCCATGAAGTTGGACAGATGACCCGACCCCACTCCTTGTCGTATACAACCGGGGAATCAAAACCATGCCAGTTGACTCAATGACAAATCTTATACAACATGTACATGTTAACCATTTGGCCGTCCCTCCTCCCCATCCCGCATGCACATAAAACAACCCTTGACCGGGGAAATCAAGAATAAGGTAAATGGTGCTGCGTGGACAAAATTCCCCCAGTTTGTATTGTTGACAAGAAGTAGTGGCTGACAAACTGACAACAATATAATTTTTCTTCTGGGCATATTATAAAATGCAGAACATTATACTGAACAATATCAGTGAATTGACAAGATTTCATAACATAATCAAGGGTAATAACTCGGTACATAACTCTATAAGTAATTAACAGAAATAGGTTAAATTTGATAGGAGTCTTCCTTTCAATAGCCTGAACACAGAAAAATGTCTATAAATTTCAAATAGCTCAAATGAGAACTTTCGTGGACAGAATATTCCCAATCTTCTACATTGTGAGTAACATACGAGAGAGAGAGAAAAATGGGGTTTAACGTCCACTCGACACAAACTAGGTCATTTCGGGACTAACATATGGTTTAATTTTATTCACATAATTCGCTTGCGCGTAGGGGTCTTTAGCAGTAGGAGGAAACCGGAGAAAACCCACGAGGTTTGACAGGCGACCCTACTCCTTGTCACGTACAACCGGGGATTCGAAACCACGCCAGTCGACTCAATGACAGACTTTATGATACAGCGCGCGCGCGCACGCCAACCATTCAGCCATCCAGCCCCCGAGTAACATACATGTATATAAATTCTAAAACAAAGATAAATGTAATACAATGGCAATATACAATCATATTTCAATGTAGGATTATAAGAAAGGCTAGGAGGGAAAAGTCATACATTTATGGGGGTCCATAGATTCACCCAAACAACTTTAAATACCCAAAACACCCTATATTTTGAAACAACCCAGCGGCTGCCAGACGGGATACGCCCACATTTTTCAGAGATGGATAGAGAACAAGCTAAAAAGAAAGTAGTAATTTTTCCTACAATCAAGGGCCATAATTCAGGAAATTACAATTCGATATGCGCAAATATCGAAAGGAACCAAGATCTTTGGGTTATAACCATACATTTTAAGTTTCAAGAAAATCAAATAAAAATTGTGACCTCTATAGGGTCCACAACCTTGATATACCATATTTTTTCACTATTTGAGAACGAGAGGCGGCCATTTTTGGGACAATTTTCACGAAATTCGAACGCAGCTGTCCTTAGTGTGTAACGGTGATATACTAAAACGTTTTTTTTAAATCGGTTAAAAATTATGACCTCTATAGGGTCCACAAGCTAAAAATGCGATTTTTCCTACAATCATGGGCCATAATTCAGGAAATTACAATTCGATATGCGCAAATATCGAAAGGAACCGAGATCTTTGGGTCATAAACTTACATTTCAAGTTTCAACAAAATCGGATAAAAATTTTGACCTCTTTAGGATCCACAACCTTGATATACCATATTTTTACGCTATTTGAGAACGAACGGCGGCCATTTTGTCTGTCAATTTTGGGCCGATTTTCACGAAATTCGAACTCCGCCGTCCTTAGGGTGTACCGGTGATATAATGATACGTTTTTTAAATCGGATAAAAATTATAACCTCTATAGGGTCCACAAGCTAAAAACGAGATTTTTTGTACAATCAGGGGCCATAATTCAGGAAGTTACGGTCCGATATGCGCGTAAAACTTACATTTCAGTTTTGGGCCGATTTTCACGAAATTCGAAGTCAGCCGTCCTTATGGTGTAACGGTGATATAATAATATGTTTTTTTAAATTGGATAAAAAATTATGACCTCTATAGGGTCAACAAGCTAAAAACGTGATTTTTCGTAGAATCGGGGGTATAATTCAGGAAGTTACGATCCTATATGCACAAATATCAAAAGAAACCGAGATCTTTGGGTTATAAACTTACATTTCAAGTTTCAACAAATTCCGGATAAAAATTGTGACCTCCATAGGATCCACAACCTTGATATACCATATTTTTACGCTATTTGAGAACGAACGGCGGCCATTTTGTCAGTCAGTTTTGGGCCGATTTTCACGAAATTCGAAGTCAGCCGTCCTTAGGGTGTAACGGTGATATAATAATACGTTTTTCTAAATCGGATAAAAATTATGACCTATATAGGGTCAACAAGCTAAAAAAGTGATTTTTCGTACAATCAGGGGCCATAATTCAGGAAGTTACTGTCCAATATGCGCGAATATCAAAAGGAACCGAGATCTTTGGGTTATAAACTTACATTTCAAGTTTCAACAAAATTGGATAAAAATTGTGACCTCTATAGGGTCTACAACCTTGATATACCGCATTTTACGCTATTTGAGAACGAACGACGGCCATTTTGTCTGTCAATTTTGAGCCGATTTTCATGAAATTCGAACTCAGTCGTCCTTAGGGTGTAACGGTGATAAAATAGTACAGTTTTTCAAATCAGATAAAAATTATGACCTCTATAAGCTAAAAACGTGATTTTTCGTACAATCAGGGGCCATAATTCAGGAAGTTACGGTCCGATATGCGCGAATATCGAAAGGAACCGAGATCTTTGGGTTATAAACTTACATTTTAAGATTCAACAAAATCGGATAAAAATTGTGACCTCCATAGGATCCACAACCTTGATATACATGTACAATATTTTAACGCTATTTGAGAACGAAGGCCGGCCATTTTGTCTGTCAGTTTTGGGCTGATTTTCACGAAATTCAAACTCAGCCGTCCTTATGGTGTAACGGTGATATAATAATATGTTTTTTTAAATCGGATAAAAATTATGACCTCTATAGGGTCAACAAGCTAAAAATGCGATTTTTCGTACAATCAGGGGTATAATTCAGGAAGTTACGGTCCTATATGCACAAATATCAAAAGAAACCGAGATCTTTGGGTTATAAACTTACATTTCAAGTTTCAACAAATTCCGGATAAAAATTGTGACCTCCATAGGATCCACAATCTTGATATACCATATTTTTACGCTATTTGAGAACGAAGGGCGGCCATTTTGTCTGTCAGTTTTAGGCCGATTTTCACGAAATTCGAAGTCAGCCGTCCTTAGGGTGTAACGGTGATATAATAATACGTTTTCTAAATCGGATAAAAATTATGACCTATATAGGGTCAACAAGCTAAAAACGTGATTTTTCGTACAATCAGGGGCCATAATTCAGGAAGTTACGGTCCGATATGCGTGAATATCAAAAGGAACCGAGATCTTTGGGTTATAAACTTACATTTCAAGTTTCAACAAAATTGGATAAAAATTGTGACCTCTATAGGGTCTACAACCTTGATATACCGTATTTTTACGCTATTTGAGAACGAACGACGGCCATTTGGTCTGTCAATTTGGGGCCGATTTTCACGAAATTCGAACTCAGTCGTCCTTAGGGTGTAACGGTGATAAAATCAGATAAAAATTATGACTTCTATAAGCTAAAAACACAATTTTTGGTAAAAATCAGGGGCCATAATTCAGGAAGTTACGGTCCGATATGCGCGAATATCGAAAGGAACAGAGATCTTTGGGTTATAAACTTACATGTACATTTCAAGTTTCAATAAAATCGGATAAAAATTGTGACCTCCATAGGATCCACAACCATGATATACATGTACCTTATTTTTACGCTATTTGAGAACGAACGGCGGCCATTTTCTCTGTCAGTTTTGGGCTGATTTTCACGAAATTCAAACTCAGCCGTCCTTACGGTGTAACGGTGATATAGTAATATGTTTTTTTAAATCGGATAAAAATTATGACCTCTACAGGGTCCACAAGCTAAAAACACGATTTTTCGTACAATCAGGGGCCATCATTTAGGAAGTTACGGTCCGATATGCGCGAATATCGAAAGGAACCGAGATCTTTGGGTTATAAACTTACATTTTAAGTTTCAACAAAATCGGATAAAAATTGTGACCTCTATAAGGTCCACAAGCTAAAAACGTGATTTTTCGTACAAACAGGGGCCATAACCCATGAAGTTTCGATCCGATACATGCCAATATCGAAAGCAGGGCGTATAAAAACCCTACACATTTTTATTGTTTTTTCTTTAATAGTTTTGAAATAAACAGTTGCCATGCAAGTTATGCCCACAGATGGACAGAGAACAAGCTAAAAAAAAGCCTTTGGTTTTATCTTTTATCATAGGTGGCTTCTTTGTTCTAGGAAAATAGGATCATCTGATGAGTTTTGTTTTACAACACGATGGGTTTTGTAAACAATTGCTGTTACATAAAATGCACTAAAATTAAACTTCGGTCGTTGCAGACATGTGGAGACATCCACAGTTTTCAAAAATGTTGAGAATCTGTCATTAGGTCCACACTAAACAAAACGATATCAGACTCTTAGAATGTTCAATTTTTTGTACAAATCTCATTGTCTTTAGCCATTTTCAAAACTTCTATAATGTTATGTGCTATGTTAGACCCTTACATTTTTTTGCCTTTTTTACTTTTCACCCATTCTCTCTATATCAAATCTCGTAGAAGCTGTAGATCCCTAGGAAGCGACCTGAACCTACTACAATAACAATAAGAGTTGTCTTTCTTGCTTTGATATTCTATTTATTTCTTTGGGGGGGGGGGGGGGGGGTCACCAGAATTATTAAAAAAAATAGTAAAGTTTAGGGAAGATTGATTACCTACATGTATATGTTGGGCGCATTGTTCACACCCCAGGCAAATTGCAATCTGCACTACCATGTTGCACAGAGTGCAGAAACTGATGTGCGATTGTCAACTCTGTGCTCATTACCCCTAAATGTTTCTAAAGATGAAAATCACTGCATAGCATAATTAGCGCCTGTGCTAAGAATAAGATTTAAATTCAAGTCTGCAGTATCTCGTGATATTTGCTATTATATACATCAACTCATCACTTGACTGAGTGTCTAAATAGATTAATCACAGACAGTTGGCAGATTTTATCAATTTTTTATCAAAGTGCAATGAAGCCAACGTGTTTATGAATTCTGGTTAAGTGGACATAAATCCTCAGATTCATTTATGCCTATGGTCACAACAAAAATAAATATACCCTTTAAAGATTTTGATTAAATCAGTGGTGGTTTACGACTTGTCAATTATTTGTACATGCTGTCCTGCTAGTACCTGTAGCAGTAAGCTTACGGTCATAAATGTTTTAAAATGAATACGGTCATAAATTTTTTAATACTAATGCAGTGATTCATTGTGAATATCGAGTAGGATGAGGAGGATTATCACCACGGTAATTCATTAAATACCTTCTGAATGAATAGTCGTAGATGCCAATTACTGGCTTTTACACGACGGACCTTGGACAGATTACTCAACAAAAATTAGTCCATGATGGGCAATCTGCGCTCAAATACAAAAAGGAAGAAAAAATTATGAAAATGTGATTGTTTTATTCTAAATACAGGTTGTTTTGGGTAATTAAAGTTGTTTTGAGTAAATCTACAATGTATTGACCACATTTATGGCTTCTGTGCATTAAAAGTCTGGAATACAGTAGTAAGTGTGGTAGCTGAACCAGAACATTCTTATTCATAGATTTGGATTTAAGCTTACATAATTATAATAATATTCATTTATATAGGTCTATTATTGAAATCATTTCTGTGAAATGAAGGAGAAAATTATAAAATATTTCCGGGAAATCAGCCCTTTTGGTCTAGGTCCTAATAATTAATAAATAATTATATTTCAATTGATTTGATACTGACTAATCTGTCTGACTCTTGCCGAGAATAGTGCAGTACAAATGGCCACTATACTACCCTTGCATAACTTTCAAATCTATGTGCTGTCCAACAAAAAGATCAAATTAATAAATGCAAGAATCTAAAGTATAATCAAATAATCATAATAATACAAGAGAAACGTAATTATTGGCGCGTATGTACAGACTGGAGTCGAGACAGTGATAGTCTGCAAATGCCAAAGAAGATGACAAGATAATTATATGAGCTTCCCGTTACGACATATGTTTGATCATAACGCTAATTGACCCGTTCTTTTGCAGTTTGCAACTGGCGCATATGCATTATTAACAAGATTACCTGCACAAAATTCCACCAGACGAAATATTACTAACACTACGATTTGCAAATTCTGGACATCAAATAATGGGTTGAAAATTTATCAGTCACGTGACGAAATTTTCAAGAGTTATCTCCGCTTGAAATAATATGACTTCCGGTTTTGAGTATATTTTGCGGTAGTATGACAAAAGTAATGTTCTCGGTTCACGCGCCTGCGCTGTTAAATATTTTTGCATATATAAAATTTTGACCTTCATAAGAAACGAAATTAACGACAATTATTTTAATACTTACAAATCACGAATTTCAATGCCTTCACTCATTTACGCCACGGATGTACAAAATACGTACAACATTATTGGTAATTACATAGTACCGAGGGAGTGATTGGATTTGGGAATTGGAACCATGATCAAAAATCAGCCAAAGCGGCTCCAAATCTGCTTAGGCCTACTTAAATGGTAGTAACAAAGGGGTACTCGATTGGATTCACACAATAAAAAGGGGGATTCCGAGCTACAACGCATGTGCATATGCATAAGAAAATATGTCAACCAATGATGACAGCTGAAACATATATTATTTGTTGAGCTTACTTACGTCACGATTCTACTCACACCACCTCAGTCGTCGGGACTGGCAGAACTGTGTCAGGACTGAATTTCGCGTCACTCAATTGCAATTCTGTGAATTCGGGACGTTCCGGATTGACAATCGAGCATGCCCTATATTAGTGTTTTTTGGGTTTTTTTTGTTTTTTTTAAGGAGCCGCGCCGGCTCTGTTAGTAAGGCGCTGGAATAGCACTGACTCACTTACCAGGAGGTCCAGTGATGCAGAACATCGATCGTTCGGATGGAATATAACAACCCAAGGTCCCGTGTTCGTGTTGGAGTGCAGCATATAAAAGAACACTTGACATTACCCCCCCCCCCCACACACACACACACACACACACAAATATTAACCGATTGTTTTGATTTTATGGCTATCATACTAAAAGTTATCATTTAACTTGTAAGTTACTCTATTGTGATGCGTCGAGATTCCGTGTGCAATTAATACTGGGCTTGATTTTATACACCATGGCCAAATGAGGAACTTTGGATAAAATATTCTCTCGAATCGACGAATTTATGACGAAAATGATTAGAATGCCATAAACTGACCATGATAAAACGGCCCTTTTTGATCTTATAACTGACACCCATAGCCTAATATGAACTGCCAACTACCAGAGATAACTGGGTAACCAACCACATGTCATCAAAGATAACTGGCCTCGTCGGGGACCAATGAATGAGGTATGTACACCAGAAAACCCCATAGAAACGAGCCAGATAGTATATCTCATATAGACGTAAATCAGCCACAATCCTGTTAAATTAACAATGTCATCAACCTTGAGTTCTGTGTGTTGATCACAGTTCCCAAAGAACGGAATTAGTCCCAAATAGGTATGGATGTGTTTGTGTACTTGTTCCAATAAGTAATGGCAAGGGTCTGCAGCCTACAACCATTACACACAATTCCAATCTCCATACAATAACATCAAGAATCTGTCTCCAGAAAATAACAGAACCCAGAACTGCTGTAACATGTTTAGCAAGTAGCCAGCAGACAACTACGTCGACTAGAGAAGGCAATGTTGGCGTTGTATTTTCTGCCGTAATGTTGGGGCCTGAAACAAACTAGGTGGAGAAAGCAATTAGTAAATGTGCGATGGCAAAATGTTGTGATAGTCCACGAAGATAGGGATGAAAACACAAACCTCAATACTCCCCTCGGTATAGATGAACTGAAAAAACATTGCGGGCTAAACGCGACAGTGCAGAAGGGAGATGTGTTAGATACACAATAATCTCTCATTGTCTTAAGGTAAAGTCCCACAAGAATGGGGGACTGCCTCAGTTATTCCTCTCCATAAGTATAACAAAGACAAAAATGAATCATCGTTCTATCGACCTGTCAGTCTTACGTCAACATTATGAAAAACGTTAGAAACCGTTATTACAAATAGGATTAAGTATATATTTCTGCGAAAGTAATAACACCATTACAAACCAATAAAGATAGGTCTAATGCAGACCACATTATCAGACTGCAACATGGTATATCAAAGGCATTTACAGTCAAGCAATACCTATGTGCAATTTTTGTCGACCTACCTAAAACTTTTGACCTAGAGTGATTGGACGGTCTTTTGCATAAACTCTACAACGCAAAAATCAATGGCCGAATGTATAGGTGGATAGAAGACTTATTGGACAATAGGCATATTATGGTACGAGTAGGAAATTGCATGAGTGAAAAACTCAAAAGGAAAAACGGCACTCCGCAAGGGTCCGTCATGAGTTCTATTCTCTTCAACATTATGATAAATGACCTTGTAAGCTAGCAAGATGCTGGGTCGGCACTATTCGCAGACGATAGCTCCTTTTGGAAAGCATCAAAGGATGCAGGAAAAATCCAACATTCGTTGCAATATACACTGGAATAAATTTCAAAATGGGCACATGACTGGGGTTTCAAAATATCGGAGGAGAACACAGGCACTTAAAGGCTTTAAAATAAAACTTCTTACGGCTGTTTGACTGTATATTACAGTGATAACAAAGTGTATCACCCGCCATATTGTTTTGACTCGTCGATTTGATCTTTATACAGCTTCCTCGTGTTAACTGTATATCGTCCGTCTTTTATTGTTTTTCTTTGTAAATATACATGTATATAAATTCTTTACCAATCCTTTTACTTTTTTGCTAATCACTTTGTAAATATTTCACTTTGTATGTATGTAATTCTGCGATATCACTTCGGTGGAAGCGGACGTTAAAGATACATTATGGGAGATAAGATAACAAGATGGCAGTTCTCGCTATAACAGTTAAAAACTAGATAGTGTAAAGGTAATTTGCTGAAAATTTCAATCAAATTGATCCACCATGAGCCTAGAAAAAAGCTCATGAAATTTTGGCATAGTCTCGGTCATCATTACTAAAATCATTAATATAAACAGCAAGTCTCGATTATCCGCTTTTCTTGATTTAATTATCAACGGCCGTTAGCGACATATAGGAATTTAATCCAGCCAACATCGAAGGCTAGCCTTGACATCGAGAGTTTATTATGGTCTGGATAAGTTAATTAATGTCTAATTGATAATTTAGATAACATTTCAGGTCTAAAGAAAGACTTGTAATAAGCAGATTTTGCTCTTGCATAATGCATGTTTAAGTAAAGCTATTTCACACACATAAAATGTATGTGGAAGCAGAAGTTAAAGAGCCAATATTTACAATGATAACTCCAAGTGCACTACTGTGACAGTTGCAGTTTTATTTGGTAGCAGTTTCATCGCGAGACTTAGGAAATACTGTGGTGGAGACATGCAACATATTTCGTGACAAGAGAGAACTAAGAACTGACAGAATGGACAGCCAATTACTGGACAACTGCGGACATCGCATTTATTCATGTAGGTGGTAATGGGATCACCACGAAATACACATTATGTTCTTTTCAACACAAATCACATTTCAACTATTTCGTTTCACTTAAAAATGAAATTAATAATCCCTAATTTGCACAGACCCAAAACGTGGCATGGAAGGACGTGCCGCAAAACCGTACATACATACGTGCTGGTTATAATCAATACATCCGGTTGAAAAACTGAATCAAATTATTTATGTAGTTTTTTTATGCATTAGAATGTAAGTATGTATTCTGAGAATGTTTTAGTCTAGACGGAAGCACAGGGGTCAAGTGATATTACTAATGATTTATTTATACATGGAATGTTTCAACTGGTCAGATCCAATCAAATTTATATTGCTATAATGCAGCAGCTAAACGAAACGTAATATTTTGTAACACAATAAATTGAATAAATTGTTGTGCCCTTTTTGGTTTTTTTTTAAAAAAAAAAGAATAAATCCTACATAATTTGGGATGCTCCATGCAGCCAAAATTAAAAGTTTAACTAACATTCACAACAGTGTATGTGCATGCTTCAGTGACGAGTCCCGAACTGATTTCTGGCTCGACACAGAGCACAAGAACTTCAAGAATACTCAGCAGTATACCTAACCTATGTATGTAGTTCCTTTATGAACATTCTCAGATAGGACGATTTCCGCTGAAGGTTCCTATCCGTCCCAATATAGCTGCAATATGAAAATATATCGCTCATCCCCACCTCTGTTCTAAGGCTATTTTTGAATCCTTGCCAACTATTTTCCACCGTGATTCTTCTTTATTCGCCAAAAGGAATCATTTCTCGCCACATCTGACACAAATTTATAATAATTCAACACTATTTTCCAGTAGAATTTTGCCATTAAAAACATACACAAAATATGTTTGAACTGATCATCCATTAGGACTAGGAGACTCGAACCGCATGTTCTTTTAATCGCAAAATTTTACTTGAAAATAGTGTTGAATTATTTTCATATTGCAGCTATATAGGCACGGAAATGAACGGTCAGTGGACATTGTGCGATCAGAGACCTTTCCTAAAGGAACCATAAATAGCCATTGCACGTGAAATTTTTAACACATCTATCAACTATTAAAATTAAAGCCGTAAAAAATCTATAGTTAACGATTCTGAATAATAGTGATATTTACCTGTTTCATTGTTACACAATTTTGTTTTTTTAATTTGCTTTATTAGGAACTATACCGTTAGGAGCAGCATCTTTTGGTTTAATAAAATTAATATCTCCGAATCTCCTTTGATCGGCAAGAATAGAATACTAGTGGTATTTTCCTTTTGCTTTAACAAGGTTCTCAAAACTATCGTTGAGTTAACTAACATGCGCGTTTCTAAATTAGATTTATTGATCTACATGTAGCTTTCTGTAATGCTTTGTAGAAAATATTCTTAATTATCCTGGCCTGTTAATCAGCTGCAGAGCGGTGGGTAGACTGATAAAAAGGGACTAATTTCAAACCAAGGGCACGTAACCTATTTTTCACTAAAAAATGCCCAGATGCAAAATGGCGTCGTCTTGTCAACTTTTTCAGTCTATTTTTTCATTGATGTTTAAATGGTTATAACTTGTTAAATACAACACAACTGTTTATTTAGGGACTATAAATGTGAGATTCT